ACATTGAATACACATTGAATATACATTAACACACATTAACACACATTAACACACATTAATACACATTGAATACACATTAATACACATTGAATACGCATTAACACACATTAATATGCATTAATACACATTGAATACACATTAATAAACATTAATACACATTAATACCATTTAACACACATTAATACACATTCAATACACATTAACACATATTAATACACTAATACACATTAATACACATTAACACACATTAACACACTTGATCCTCAGAGTTCTTCACAGTGTGAACACTTTGACCCTCACATGAGAAGAGGAGAGAGAGGTTGAAGGGACTGAAGGGCTAGTTGAGTATTAGTAGTAGTAGCCACAGAGGGAGTACTAGTACATGACTGTTAGTAGTGTAATTAGCATGTTATCTTACTGTGTGTGTACTTTGTGTTTCTTTATTTGCTGCACACTTTGGTTTCTTTTTATTTGTAGTTTTTCTAAAGATGAATTTATAAAATCTATAAATAAATATTTTGAGATGCTGAACTGAAAGCGTTCGGCAACGAACCTTTTATTTTGAAACGTTTTCTTTTATCGGCTTTTATTTTGTATCACATCCACCGGATGCTGGTTATTTAACGGACACTTGACGCGAGCACGTTTCCGGTTTCTGGAGCTAAACGAAGTCAAACTGATACTTTTAAACGAGTTAATACGCAGTATAAGAATATTTTTTATAGTGTATTTGTACTCGTATTTTGTTATAAGTTGTAGTTTTATGTAGAATAATCTGTGTTTAAGAACTCCGGGATTTTGTGTTGAACGACAGATGAACCCGGAACATCAACAAAGGTTCCGTTAAAGAACCTCCGACATGTTCTCCGGTTCTCCCCCCAGGAACAGGCTCCTGTTTGCGGCTCTAAGTGTGCTCCTGACCCGCCTCTCCTGCTCCTCTCTCTCGGTGCCGGACGTCCCAAACATCGCCGCGTTCTTCGGAACCAAGACCCGCTACGAGGACGTGAACCCGCACGTGCTGCGTGACGCGTTGTCCGTGAACACTTCCGTGTTGAGACCTCCGACCTCCGAGCGATGCTCTCCGGTCCACATCACCGCCGTCATCCGGCACGGGAGCCGGTACCCGACCGTCAAGAACATCCGGAGGATCCAGAGCCTCAGCGAGCTGGTCCGGAGAGAAGCGACCAGAGGGTCCGGAGGGTTAGGGGGGTCCGGAACCTGGTCCAGAGGGTCTGGAACCTGGCTCCAGGACCTCCAGAGATGGGAGAACTGGTACACCGAGGACATGGACGGTGAGCACCAGGGGGTCCAACAGTAGAGATATACTGAGAATAATAATATGAAATGATCCTGTTCCTCTCCCTCCTCTCTCCTTCTCCTCCTCTCTCCATCTCCTCAGGTCAGCTGGTGATGAAGGGTAGGGAGGACCTCCGTCAGCTGTCTGTGCGTCTGTCCCTGTTGTTCCCGTCTCTCCTCTGTGAGGAGAACATGAGGAGGATCAGTTTGAGGAGCAGCTCTAAGCATCGCTGTGTGAGCAGCGTGGAGGCGTTTCAGGAAGGTCTGCAGCGTCACTGGAGACGCAGAGGTCAGAGGTCAAGCTCTACTAATACCTCACTGTAGGAGTACTCTGTTACAGTAGGAGTACTCTGTTACAGCAGTAGTGCCCTGTTACAGCAGTAGTGCTCTGTTAC